GAAACCATTATATGTGGAGTTGAAACCAGCCTGACCAAAATCAACCCCGACGACGCTAATAGAATCAGACTCGAAATCACCAACATCCTCTGCACCAGCAAGCCACCCAAAAGCAACTTACCCAAAGAGGAACAGACAGCACTACGTAACCTGAAAGAAGACACCAGCATAATAATCTTACCAGCAGACAAGGGCAATGCCACGGTGGTTATGAACACATCTGACCACCAAACCAAATTAACCAACCTACTCCAAGACTCTACATACAAACCCCTAAACACAGATCCCACCACCTACCTGGAAAAAACCACCAGATCCAAAATAAAAGCCTCCCCCATTAGTGAAGAGATCCAGCAAAGAATCATTCCCAGAGAGAAATCATCCAAATGCCCTAAGTTCTATGGTCTCCCCAAGATACACAAAGAAGGAACCCCACTTAGACCCATAGTCAGCTCCATAGGCTCACCTCTACAAAACCTATCCAAATTTCTCGCCAAACAACTACAGCCCTATGTAGAATCCATCACCTCACACGTAAAAAATTCATTCCATTTCTTAGAGATCATAAAGAAACAAAACTTACAGCCCAGCGACCTACTCGTGAGCTTTGATGTCATATCCCTGTTCACCCGAGTGCCAATCAAAAAAGCCTTGACAGCTATCCAAAACAAATATAACCCCCCAAAACACATCCTAGATCTGACCAACCATTGTCTATCCAACATACTTCCGTTTTGTCTGTTATATACTTCATCTATAACGGAAAAAAATACAAACAAATAGAAGGAGCACCCATGGCATCACCCCTTTCACCTGTCATTGCAAACCTCTACATGGAACACTTTGAAACCCAAGCTCTAGAAAAATCTAAACACAAACCCAAATTCTGGCTCAGATACAACACCTTCATAATCTGGCCACATGGGAAAGAAAAACTGGACAACTTCCTCATACACCTCAATGGCCTACACCCCAAAATACAGTTCACCATGGAAACAGAAGCTAATAACCAACGTCCCTTCCTAGATGTCTTAGTCTACAAGAAATCCAATGGCTCTCTAGGACACACCATCTACCAGAAGAAAACACACACAAACCGCTATCTGCATGCTCTCTCACACCACTACCCAGCACAGATCAACTCCATAGCCAAGACACTCATCTCTAGAACAAAACGCTTAGCTGATGAACAACACCTAAAAACCGAACTACACACTCTCACTAATGTACTTACATCCAATGGATTCCAATGAAATAAGATTACCAAACTAATCCAAAAAGAAACCCCCACTAAAACCCAAGACAGAGAACAGGAAAACGGCAAAGCCCTCCTCCCTTACATAAAAGGCACCACAGACAGAATCAGTAAGATCCTCCACAAACACAACATTAAGACAGCATTCTGCCCAAAAAGAAAAATATCCACCATCCTAAGAAACCCCAAAGATAAAATTGAATTAGAAAATCAAGGAGTATACGAAATCCCATGCATCACTTGTCCCACCCCATACATCGGACAAACCAACAGAAGAATAAGTGCACACACTGAAGAACATAAGAACTCAGTCAAAAAAGAGGAACCAACTTCTTCCCTGGTCCAACACCTTAAAATCACAGGACATGAAATTGACTTTAAAAATACCAAAACCATTGCCAAAAGTGAACATTTTAATAACAGAATAATCAGAGAAGCCATCGAGATAGAAAAATGCCCACACAGCAAGAACAAACGAGATGATACCTCCCGCCTACCAGCTATTTGGAAACCCACCCTTATTGACAAACAACTCCCTCACACAAAAAATGACACCAGACCCACACTCACAAAAACCACACAGGATGTCACCACCACACATCCACGCAAAAAGCAAACCCAAAGCCACACCGATGATGAGGCACGACCACAAACCAGAAGCCAGACCACAGCTGCATCATTAGCCACTTGAAACCCCTCCAATCCATACATGAAGCAAACTGACACCCTCCATGAAGATGAGGCACGACCACGAACGCGAAGCCAAAAAATAGCAATGCAGCTCACCATTTTAAACCCCCTGCAACTCAGACTAACCTGAGCACAACAAAGCAGAGCACCCAAACAGAATACTCCCCCAGCCAATCAGAGCACAGCCAACCCCCCAGCCAATCAGAGCACAGCCAACCCCCCAGCCAATCAGAGCACAGCCAAGCTCCTAACCAATAAGAACACACCTCCATCCAATCAGAACACAGCCAAGTTCTCATCCAATCAGTTCATACCCCCACTGGCAGTTAAAAGGAGGAAACAGCTACAATCACACATTGCTCCTAGAAGCACGAAGCCGAAAGCACCAGCCTGAAGATGACGAATGAGACTTCATCGAAACGTCGCCAAGACACTTCCAATTTTACGTTGGAGAAAACCCGAATAACCAAAGACCTACATATATATATTGAATAACTTGAATTATTGCTTCACAATATATATATTGCTTCACAATATATATATATATATATATATATATATATATATATATATATATATATATATATATATATATATATGTCTCTCCCATATTTGGGTCAACAGGGTATAACATACAGCATTCTAGATAACTCCTCCTCTGTTTCTTCCCTCCCTAACACAGCTGGCAAAAGTGAGACAGAGCCTGTGGCCTAGAGGTTTAATATAGCTGCCTAACATGCAGACAGCCCAGGTTCGAATCTCAGAAGGGTATGTCTGGTTGAAAAGAGCTAAAGAGTTTGAAATAGCTATTCCAGTTCTCCCTTAATTCTTTGCTAGCAATCCAAATTTTAGAAATGTGTGATGTCACAGTTGTGACTGCTGCCTGTAGATGGCTCTAGTTTGAGCTGATACAAAGCAAAAGATTTCTCTCTCCCATATTTGGGTCAACAGGGTGTAACATACAGCATTCTAGATAACTCCTCCCCTGTTTCGTCCCTCCCTAACACAGCTGGCAAAAGTGAGACAGAGCCTGTGGCCTAGAGGTTTAATACAGCTGCCTAACATGTAGACAGCCCAGGTTTGAATCTCAGAAGGGTATGTCTGGTTGAAAAGAGCTAAAGTGTTTGAAATAGCTATTCCAGTTCTCCCTTAATTCTTTGCTAGCAATCCAAATTTTAGAAATATATATATAGAGAGAGTCAGATTGACTATAAACATCATGACAGCGTAGTCACCATGAATAATTGGCATTTGTACAAAAAATATAATGTTTGAATTTCCTGAATGTGGCATAATCCCAAAATTGAAAAAGTTACTGAAAATGGTTTTATAATTTTATGAGGCTTTTTAATTGTTTTTTTTTAATAATTAAAAAATCTTTATTAGTTAAAAATCACAATTTAGAACACTATATATCAAATATAATAACTGAAAAGATGTTTTATTTATTTATATTTTATTATTCTTAACTGCCAATCTCCCTCAGATTAATTCTTTTAGATGTGGCAATCTCCAGAGACAGCAGAGTGAAGCAGAAAGAATTGAAGAAAGTTACAATACATAAAGACTGAACAATCCAAATGCAGCGATTATAGAAAAGATCTTGCAAAATCATCCCTGTAGTTATTAGGACTTTAGCCAAAATTATGAATATCAACTGTGGATTTACAAAAAAATATGAGTATAATGCAATATGAACCATCTTATTGGGTACATTACATCTTAGGACATTACTAGAATTTCTAAACACCAGTAATGTGTGACTATTTTTGTTCTTACTACTGTGTTACAGTATTCCTTGATAAATAAAAGCATAACAACAATAGGACCAAGTGTCTTAAAAAGTTGCAAAAACAAGATCAAAATTTTGTAGGATTTCAAAATTCAAACTGATAGGTACTTAGGGTATAAAATACACCAGTCATTACTATTCTAGAAAAGAAGATGATGTGGTTTATTGTTTTGGCAATATCTGGAGACAACTGAATTGATGAAGAACAATTGGAGAAAATAACAAGATATGATTCACAGATTGGAGTTGGAAGATAATAGAGGAAGAAAAGACTGTCATATCAATTGTAATTGGACTTCTTGGTATGATACGGCTTTTATTCATGGCCATGGAGAGAACATGCATGTGCCACAAAAATATGGCAATGTTCACAGATGGCTGTGGCATTTTTGTGGAAATGACCATTTGTCTCCCACAGCGCCCAAGAATTTACTTCTAAGGTTCTATGGAAAACTTGCAGAGGCCTTGAATGTGCCATTCAAGTTGTTTTATTTATTCATTGAATTTATTTGCTGCCTATCTCCTAACGAAATAACTCAAGTTATCCACATGAACCCGACTCAGATATCTGAGGTTGTAACCCTATTCCAATGAGAGTTCTGAGTTATCATGGATTGTAATATAAGGCTGTAATCCACAAAATTGTTACTTGGAACTTGCTTCCACCATAATTGAGCTGCTAAATATTATCAGAAAGCAACTTGGTTAAATTCTTTGCAATCATTAAAATTATTTGTCTTTGAAGAAAAGGCAAGGCTCTTTGAATTAACTTTGAAAAATGTAGCTTTTTTTCCCTTCCCCATCACTTTGCCCCCTAATCTGTCATTAAAGCCCTGAGAAATCACAAAAATAAACAGTCAAATTCCATTCAGTTGGGAGTACAACTTGTGTAAGCAGCATGTGAAAGTTCTGTTTACAGAAGTTCATTAGGTCAAAGATCCCAGTTTTAAACCCAAAACAAATTACCTCCTAACTTTTATAAACAAATTGCATGTAGCACATTAATCAGCAAATCAACAGGTTCTCAAGGGTTTTGAGTTAATTCAATCATCAAGACACTTTAGCCAAGGGAGAGGGGAAAAATACTGAATAAAATATTATGCTTTTCAATTGCTTTAACAGAAAAAATGCAAACATCGCCTTGGTGTACTATAGTCATTAAACAGCTGCCCTTGGGAAGGAATCCTGATTATGAACAACAAAATAAAACAGGAGACCCTTGATTGACAAAGAACAAGGGGATAAAAATAAATCATATCCTACCTGGAAGACATTCTTTTTGCTAGATTTTTCCTTGGTCCACTCAATCTGAGCGCCACACAAGTCCAGCCACTCAGGTTTGGACCCTTTCTGTCAATAAAGAATGTTGAGAATGAATTGACTGTTGCTTCCAAAGATATTGGTGAATTAATTGATCAAATTCACCTGGACCACCTGTTCACCATATTGGTGAACAAATTTTCACAGGAATTCTTATGAACCCACTCTTAATATATGTTGCCCAATTTATACATTACTTATACAAAGTCCTCCAAAATATTGGTTAGTAGCTCCTAGGAAATTGCAACATCTACATTAACTTTATTGTGACCAACCCCCCCCCCCAAATAATGTTTTTAATCTTAGAAAAAAACATAAACTTAACTTTGTTTTATAAAAACTCAAGCAGACACAGCTCAGGTTAGACTTTGCAAGTAATGTTTGGCTAAGCCCATTTCTCTGTTCTGAATGCCTCTTTCTCTGTCAATGTTTGTTCCACTGAAGGTCTCGCTTGTGGGGAAAAGGTATCTACCAAGTCATGATCATGTGTTGAGTTTGTTGTAACTCAGCCAAAGCCTAAAGCCTCTGAGTGCAAGCAGTCATCTTAACTATAGGCTTCCTCCCAAAGGCTTCTTCCCACAGCTCTTAACTGTGTTTCTCACCCTGCTGGAATTTTTTGAGCCAGATGTAAGTAATAACATTTCCAAGGCCTACATACTTATCAATCAGGCTATTCCCTTTCAGACTAAGCGGTATTAGGAACAATACAAAGCAAAAGTGAGAAATAATAAGGCAAAGAAATTAAAGGCAGGAAGTACACTATTCAGTATAGTTTTCCATGTCTGTTTTTGCAAAACATTTGTCCTTCCACTGCACCATAGACTTCTTTACCTTTTAAATTTCTCATCCTTCTCTTCTTGAAGATTTTAAAAAGACATCTATTCAACTACAACTTTCTAATTCTTCCTCTTCCACTCAACCTATTCACTCTTCCTATAGTAATAGTTGCTTTTCCATTTGCATTTAACCCATTGCTGCTTGATCCTACACACATCCCCAACCAACACTTCTAGCTACCCAACAGGCATTCCTTAAACATTCATCTATTTATTTTATTTACCTAAAACAACTGCAGGGATATCACACAGCTTTGTCTTTGCTAAATGTTGAGCTATTCACTAGGCATTCCACTGATTTTCATGCACATGTATTGCTTTAATCATATTCAGCAGCAATTTTCAACTCCATATTTATACACTCTCTTCCATAATCCAAGCCTATTCATTTTACCCTGTACTTTTTTTTCAATTAACAAACATACTTTTCTCACATTAATACATCTATCAATGTCCTGATAAATAAATAAATAAATAAAAAATCTGGTCTGTATTCTCATCCCCAACCCTCACTGTATGACATAAAGGCACAATGCATTTTTCGTATTTTAATCTGTCAACTCGTCTACCTTTTTATCAGATTTATCTCAAATACTTTCCCAGGGCCGCATAATTCTGTAGTTTTTGCATTCATTTCTGTTACTCATCATTTTGTACACACAAACAATAGAAGTATTCTTCCAATGGCCTGGCACAGATGCAATGATGGCACACACATATTAAACAACTTGCACAACCTCTCCATAAGCATCATATATTCACACTTCAAAATTCTTCTAGTGATACCACCACCATTTTTCCAACATCCTTCAAGCATTTATAACTTTTCTTGGACATTAGCATTTATTGTACTGATTTCAATTCTAATTTTCAACATACATTGTGTTTTCTTGTATTACATATTTTCTCATGCCTACCAAAAAGCTCCGTGTTTACTCTCCCAATTGCTTTTCTTCTTTTTGACTATATTCTTTGCAAATGACTTCTTCTTTCTTTTGCACTCAGTATTTTGCTTTCATGCTTATTTTTACAGCATTTCCTTTTCATTCACAACCTACTTCACTGTATCATTCTGCCAAACGTCCTTTTACATCTTTTTTCATTAGTATGAATATAGTCTGCGGTGCTATATAACATAACTGTTTTCATGTTTATCCAAGTACTTTCCACATCTTCTTTGTATTCTTATCATCCATCACCTTATACCTTTTTATATACCTTGCAGTTATAGTTTCTTTAACTTCTGTTCTTTTATTCCATGTCAATTGTTTCCCAAGATCCAGTTTTGACAATATCTAATAATGGCCCATCTCATATTCAAAATCCCTTATCACTTTCCTATCGCCCACTGAATCGTTCTCAATTTTTTTCTATCCTAAACAATCAGCTCAGCCATCCTTTTAGGTGTATATTCATTCCTTTACCATACATATAAACGTGGCCTTTGGTTTTTAGTGGCCTGGTGTGGCTGCTCTTGTGCTGGACTGACTCAGCCTTTGGAGAAAGGAAAGGGGAGAAGAAGCCCAGTTCCAGCCTAGAAGGGCAGCTGTGCTGTCCTGGAACATAGAATCAAAGGGCACGAAGGGATCTTGGAGGTCTTTTGGTCATGAGGGCAGATAACCTGACCTGACAGCTAGCTAGGGCTGTTGTGGGGAGAGGGAGGGACAGCAGTCCCATTGTCCAGTTTGGTATGTAGTGTTGGGGACTAGACCCCTAGAAGAGGGGGACAGTCTAGGGCAGTGATAAAACCCATTTATTTATTGCAAAATGCCAGGGCCGCATCAGCATTGTGGTGCCCTCAGGGGATGTGGGGGTATGTGGCTCATGGCAGAGTGGGTGAGTATGACTGGGATGGGTGTGGCCATCTTGAATTTGTTCATGAGGGGCATGCCTGTGGGGTCGGGCAGGGTTGGGGGAGATCCAGGGAGTCTCTGGCAGGTAGAGCAGTGGGCAGCAGGCTCATCCTGCAGAGTAAGGCAGGGGGCAGGGTGGGGTGCCATTGCTGTGGGGTAAGGAAAGGCACACAGAGGCCAGCGAGCACATGGGGGGCGACGGTGTCCGTCAGCAGCCACAGCCTACCGGCCCCTCAACCGGTGCACTCTGGGGCTCTACAGCCCACTGCCAATACCGAGCCAGACCTCCAGCAGCAGGCAGAGTAGGGGAGGGGCAGACACATGAAACAGACCACTGGATACACCTACTCCATCCCATCTGTTTTTGCTTGTGGTTGGAGAGCAGGTCGCTGCTGGTCATCTCGGTCCCCTCACAGATCTTACCTTTGGCCTGCATGTGGAGGCTGTTCCCTGTGTACCTTGGCCCTACCTTGGGCTGCTGCTGCCAGCAGCTTGTGCAAGTCCATTAGGCTGCCGCTGCCACCTAGAGTGCCTCACTCGCCCAGCACAAAGGAGGCTAAACGGCTGGCTAGTAAGCTTGAATAGAGGTGGTAGAGCACGCCCATGCCCAGGAAGCAAAAAGGCCACCCCGAGCAGGGAAAGCCAGATCCCCATCGGTGCCATGCCCCCCCCAGTCCCAGCTAGGATTGCATGCCTCCCCCCATCTCTGCTGGGTCTGGGCGGCCATGATGCTGATGGGGATCCAGCTTTTCCCACTCAGCATGGCCTTTTGCCTGCTAGCCCTGGGCATGCTCTTTCACCTCTACGTGGGGTTTTCTAGCTGACTGCTTCACCTCCTTCATGTTGGGCAGGTCTGTAGCTCTGGGCTGTGGCCTAATGGACCTGTGCAAGTGGCTGGTGGCCACGGTAGGTGCATGAGAAGAATGCGCTCCACCCACAGGCCAAGAGCAAGACCTTCGAGGAGGCTGAGGAGATGACCAGTAGCAATCAGCTCTCCAACCAAAAAGAGATGAGACAGAGTAGGCATGTCCTGCAGTCCATATCATGTGCTCCCCTGATTCCGTGTGCTGCCGGTGCTGCCACAGTGCTGCTGCTGGAGGGCTGGCCCAGTATTCACAGCGGGCTACACAACCTGTTGCTGGATGCTGTTAGCCCCTGTGCATTCACCACTTCCTGTCCATGTGCCTTGGGGGCTACCAGGTTGGGTGGAGCCAGGGCAGCAGGGCCTAGTCCCTCACCATCTCTGGGGCATCCCCAGGGGGGCTAATGCTGCTTGCTCACTCACTTCCTGCCCCATTGCTTCACCATCACTGGTCTAGGGCATTCTATCATTCATTCATTCATTCATTCATTCATTCATTCATTCATTCATATCCCTCCTTTATTATTGTGATAAATAACTTTAAGGCATACCTAATATGCCTTCATCCTCCTAATTTTTCCACAACAACAACCCTATTGAGTGAGTTGGGGAAGGAGGGAGGAGGGAGAAAGGGAGAGAGGAAGAGAGAAAGAGGGGGGGGGAGAGAGAGAGAGAAACTGGCCCAAAGTAAATCAACCAATTTTCATTAAGGTGGGATTAGAACTCACCATCTCCTGCCTTGAACCTGATACCTTAATCATGTCCCAAAATTGAAGAGAGAAAAAGAGGACAGAAAACTGGTGGAGAAAGAGAGGAGTAAGACAAAGCAGCTGGAGAGAAAAATTGGAAAGTAATCTGAGTGTGCAGACCAGATGTCAGTTCCTAGTTGGAGAGGCAAAAGAAAAGTCCATGGGTGGCTTCCCTGGAAGAAGAGAGGTCCCAGAGACAGGGCATCTAAACCCAACAGGAGTAGGAGAGAGGCTTCTATCTTTGATGAAGCTCCATCTCTAGGAAAGGAATGCATATATTTATCTATTCCATCCATCTGATCAGACCATTTTCATTCAGAGCTGTTACATCCTTCCACTTTCTCAGTTTCATGGATATCTAATATAGAAAATCTTTAATAAATACTCTTCTTTTAACAAGGCCAAAACATTCCCCAGGAAGGAGAACTTCTGAAAGAGCCATCCTTGGAAGAGGGAAATGTGAGATTAGGCAAAATCTCAAAATTCTTCTTAAACTGTGATGTCCCAAGCTGGGCACAGAAGTTGAACTTGACTACAGGTTGTCCTCCATTTACGACCACAATCGAGTCCAAGGTTTGTGTTGTTAAATGACATCGTAAATATGAGCCATTTGCCAAACATCAGAATTTTGATCATGTGACCATGAGGATGCTGCAATGGCCATAAGTGTGAAAAACAATCATAAGTCACTTTTTTCTGTGCTGTTGTCACTTAGAGCAATCAAGTCTTC